CAAAAAACATATATTTTTAGTTTGTTTTTCTCATAGAACACCCTTTTGCACAAGTATTTTAATATTAGGAATGCACATCATTATAATTATGGCCAATTTAGATGATGATTTTGTAAAAATAAATCAATAAACCCCCCAAAAACTAAAATATATATATATAACAAACTACTAAATGCTACACAAGAGTATAACTGATATATCGTGCACCCCTATTTAAAAGAATCACAATAATAAATCAAGACGCAATATGAGTTTACGTGGGAAACAGAATAATAAAATTCAGCTTGATGGGGATCTGGATTTATGATTATCGCTTTGAAAGACATTCCCTTTGCATCTATTAGAAGGATAGCATTTCAGTAATTAAAAACAAATAATTGGATTCCACAAAGTTCCAAACCACAATTCAATAATTAACTCTTAAACTTTGTGGCTTAAGATTTGGTGCTTGTACAACGCAAAGCACCAATATCTGTGATTATGGGCCTAATTTGTGTGAAATGCAAACTTGCGTCTGAAAAGCCTAGTGATATTATCAGTTTTACAATTAACTAACAATAACAGATAACCTTGGAATCCTCCTACACTCACGGCCACAGTAATCGGCCTCCAGTCGTCCCCTGTATTGTCTACGGATGAGAACGTTCTGCGCAGATTTCACTGCAATTAAAATGCATACAATGCCATTTAGAGCAGAACAAGATGTTTTTGTGTGACTGCTTCTGGGTGATTCTCCCCCCCATCCAGCTTTTTATGGAGACAGCCAGGGCTCGGGTGGAGGGGAGGAGGGTTGTGAAAAGTGGAATCAATTTCTTGATTAAAAATGGCCTTTTTCCCCCTTCTCTTCGCTCACAGGCACAAGGAACATAGACACGCGCAAAACATGCCGTGAATCCATATGCCTCAATATAAAGTGTTGCATCATTGTTAATTCCGTTCATTAGTCTCTTCCTAGATGGAGGATTTAATTTGTGGTTGTCTTTTAGAGAGCTGGCGAACCAAATTGAATTTGCAGACACCTCTCCACACACCGACGTCTATGTTGTCAACCTCTCCTCAATTCATTTTTTGAGCCGCTCAATAAATCAACTGAGATTACAAACAGAGTTAAAGATAGGTAATTAAATAGAGACCCTTCAGTTGCTCTCTCATGCTTTCTCTCTCTCGTAAACACAAGGCAGTGCACATACGGAGTGTTTTATTGCCTATTGTGAAGTAAAGGTGCGTTTATGACAAATTTAAATCAATTATTTTCTGGTCAGGCTGTTAGTTGCTTTATATACTGTAATTTGCAATCTAAAATTGAATGATGTATTTGGCTTCTGATAGGTCAATACAACATTTCAGTTGTGCTAAACTGCATACAGTAGTACCAGAAATGACAAGAATACTCCTTAAATATTTTGAATATCTAATAATAATTTTAATAGTAGAAATAGGTGCCCTAAGTTTTCCTAGTTAGATTGCATGAATGTAACTTCTGTGCAAAATTGAAATATCGCATAAAAAAACATGTGCGAATAAAGCAAAATCCACACGTGAGATCCCGTGCAATGAAAGCAAACCAACATTTGAGATGCTGTGCAATAAAAGTGATCCACTTGTACATCTGTTGAGGCAAAGTCACATGACTTTTAGTTGTTGGGCATCAAGGGATTTATTCTGTAAATTTGTTTCCTTCTTATGCGCATGTCTTCTTATCGGATCAAATTTTTTGTCCACCTCAATCGCAGCGCATATGTTATCGTGCGCATTTTTTAAACCCAATATCTCAAAATTTGCACGACCATAGCCACGACCATTTTCACAATATAGTACGATCTTCTATTTTATTGGTGAATTACAGTACCTCAGCTATTTCAGTAAAATGTTAAAAAATATATATAAATTAATTTTGACGTATAATTACAGCAAAACTAATCATTCCAATTTACTTTCAATTTCTTAATAAAATATGACTGACCAGTATAGTGACAACATAGGCTACTTAAAATCTGCATTGTAGAATATGAATGGTTGGAATAAAGTAGTTCTTGTTTCCTTTAAATACTACTGACTAAATAAATAAACTTAAAGGGTTAGTTCAGCCACAAATTAAAATTATGTCATTAATGACTCACCTTCATGTCGTTCCAAGCCCGTAAGACCTCTGTTCATCTTCGGAACACAGTTTAAGATATTTTAGATTTAGTTCGAGAACAGAACCGGAAGAAAATACAATGCTGAATAAAGTCGTAGTTTTTTTTTGTTTTTGTTTTTTAGGACCAAAATATATTTTTGATGCTTCAGAAAATTCTAACTAACCCATTGATGTCACATGGACTACTTTTATGATGTCTTTATTTCCTTTCTGGACAAGGACAGTATACCTTACATACATTTTCAATGGAGGGACAGAAAGCTCTCGGACTAAATCTAAAATGTCTTAAACTGTGTTCTGAAGATTAACGGAGGTCTTACATGCTTGGAACGACATGAGGGTCATTGATGACATCATTTTGGGTGAACTAACCATTTAATTTTCTAATAATAATAAAAAATAATAATAATAATACCAAAGAATACACATACATAAAACTCACTAAAAGTGTCAGTCAAAAGAATTAATGCAAAACAATATAAACAAACAGTTTCAAATGTGTCATATCATGTGCTGTATCATTGAGCCCAACCTTAGCTGTCATTCTGCCATATCACAGAGCCTCATTCCCATCGTAATTAAACCAATAGTCGGTTTCAATTAGAGCTCACTTTTTTCCCTCCACATGCCTTTATAGAAAAATTAATTAGTCAATTAGCCAATTAACATCTGAACAGGGCTTTGTGTTAACAAGCCTTTTACAAGCAGTGGTAACCCTTCAGTAATGACACCGAAGCCTGCTGGCATCCAGGGACTCTTATAGAGCACACGAGCTCCCCACTGCTTGCGTAGTGACAGCTTGGCTTTCCATCTGGTCCACATTACGAGAACACTAGCATTAGGGAAGAAAGCCGAAACAAAAACAAATACAAAATAATTGCTGTTTGTTTTCCACGCGCAGCATATTTATGCACATCTTCCAGCCAATGGCCCTCTTCTACAGCTGTAATAATTTGGCCGCTGCTTTCCTGCCACCAGTATAAATAAAGCTGATAGATTCAAGTAATGGCTCCCGGTTCAAATAAACAGAGGGAGACCCTTACGATTTGTCTTCCGCCCTGCTCTAAATCATATTTGTGTACGAGATACATTTCCTACGCTATAGATTCTCCTGCCTTGTGTGTGCCTGCGCCTGTTGTCAACATATTTGGACTAAGTAAACACTGCATACCTTGTGCCTAAGCCAGACACAACAGTTTTGGAGAGGTGGCGCACAACCGGCGAAAGAGAGCTTGTCCGAGAGTGTCCCAAAAAGGATCTTTCATGTGAGAATGGAGTGTAATTTACAACAACTCTACTGATATGATAGCACGTACTGTAGCAGCTTGCACTCTATTTTGAAGGGGGGGAAAAAGGCCAAAGGCTCCTTGAGAATGTTTATTTTCTCATCCCGTCCTACTAAACCATCCCTAAAAAGGGAGAGCAGCTGTTTATAGGTTGTTTGCAGACCAAACATTGTTTTCTGTCCCACAATTTTTTTTCCATGGTAACTTACACCAAACCCAAATAAGCAAAGACAAGTGCTTTTAACAACAAGTGTCACTATTATTCAGACTGACAAACTCGGATTCACACAAAGCACTCGTGTGCCTCAGAGATGTTTTGGACTTCTTCTTCTTTTTTTTTTTACAGTCATCGTGGCAAAAATAGGCAATAGTCCCATAGGATTGCAAACAGAGATGGTCGGCTTCTCCACATTATATCATCTCACATCGCTCTAACTTAAAACTTTGTGCTTCTGAATAGCTTAAGCTTGATTTCCAAGGCTCTGTCAAGAAAAACACATATCTGCTTTCTCCCCTTGGTGGTTCAGCAATTCAGTGTAAACAGGGTCCATGTTTTCACCTTACATGGGCATGCGGTGCACAGCATGTTGGTGTTATGCATGGGGTAAATAGATTCGCACAATTACCCTCATTATTAACATATTCTGACAGACGTGTGTGTTTGTAGTGGGGCTGGGCTGAACAACTTTCGGTTCCACACCGTTAAATGTTAGTGCTTCACCTTTAAGATTAAAGGCCGGGTGTAAACAACACTCTGGGAAAGGCTTTAACAGTTCAGATGTGACAGCACTAGCTATACAGACTGTTTTATGTAACTAGCATCTTCAGGAAACAGAGCGAGCGTAGAAAGGTTTTGGTCTAGATGGGATTTATTGCTCAGGGGTTCTGCTTTAATAACTAAAGAGACCTAATGGGGTTCATCTTTGACTAAGAGGTTTCTCCTAAAATGTATATTTATATATACACACATACAAAAATAGTTTGCAAGTTACAGTACAGTATGGAGACCATTACTTTTTAAGTTGTAATGTTAGCATGCATCTATATATAAAAGTCACTTTTTAATTCTCTTTGCGTATTGCAAAACTTTAAATTCACTGTAAGCAGTCAGTTTAAACCATTAAATTAACATGTATATCTTCTATATGAAAATTGATAATCAAAGTCAAAGGAACACTTATGTCCAGCCTGCAATCTGAAGTGATATTACGACCTAATATTACGGCGTAATATTAACACTTCCACTTTTTTAACAGCACAGGGAAATCTTCCAAGCCTTTTTTAATTAATTTCCATCATTCTCTCTCCCTGACACTAAAGGCACTATGGACACAGATTAGGGTGGATGTCCATGAAAAATTAACAGGTTTATCTTTTAACTCGGACAACCCCCGGCCTTGTGATATATACTACTTTTCCCCCTTTCATTTTCTTTCCGACTCTTTACTTTTCGGAGTAGAGGGAGGAAGCCTAGTAAAAATGAAGCTGTGATTAAGTTGATATATTCCAGATAATAATAACAGAGTGGCTATTACACATTGGCATTAGGAGAGTTTCCCGTTCTTCAGCCCTACCCGGAGTGGAGCGGGGAGCTTCCAGAGGAAGGAGTGTGTGTAGTGTCAGACCTGAAGGACTAGGGAAGAAGCCTCCGAAAATGTGGAAAGGAAACTGGCAGGCAGACTCTCTCATCCTGTGGATTACACAAAATGTCAAAGTCAGAGGATCTTGAGTGCTTGAGTGATCTATCTTTTGTTAATTTGTCCCACGGTAAATATTTGTAAAAAATCTCATCATTCTCATTTATAATATTGCAGGTAATTATTAAAAGGAATAGTTCACTCACAATGTTGTTTCAAAGCCATGTGCAGCTATTTTTTTTCAGTGGAACACATTGAAAAATAATATTTAAGCAGCTCTTTTTATAATGACCAGCCCCAAAAACTACAAAAACACCATAACAGTATCATAAAAATATAGTCATTTCAACTTGCACACCATAATTATATAGTCTGAAGCATTCGATGGCTGTTTATGACAGTCTGGTGATTTAAAAAAAAAAAAAAAAAAAACTTTCAAAGCACTTTTTTTTGCATAAACTGTTGCATCAATTTGGATTTATGTTAATGAGGTTAAAGTGCCATTTTTTCAAATCTGTCAATAACACTGATGCACAATTGTTTTCTTTAATCTGGATGTAAACTTCTAGTATTAATGGTGTCAAAGGGACATTTTTTGAATCAGTATGTTTATAATGTAGTTATTAACATGCCATTGAATTTGGACGCGAATATTTGGTGTCAACAGCATGGATGCAACATTTTATATGTATCTGGATTCGAACATTTAGTATTGCATGGAACAAACAGTAGCATATGGGTGTTTTTTTTTTTCATTTTGGTTGAACTGTTGCCCTGATGTGTTTCACATTTCTAGTTTATGCATTTAATAAAGCCAGCATAACTGAGCTTTACATCAAAATGAAAAGCCTCTTCATTAGGTACTGATTCTGTGATTTAATATTTCTCAAGAGTGCCTCAGTATTGAAAATTTATGTCCTATTCACACGCAGGGGGATCATATATTTTTTAAGAGGATACATGTAAGCAAAGTGTGCAATAGGTCAGACGTGCAGTGGGGGCATAGAGGAGGTCAGAAGTGACGAGCTGTGCGCTCCATAAGATCATAGAGACCCCTCCAGGGTGGATGACTCAGCTGGTGGGGCAGGAAGCTCAATAACCTGCTGCGCCAGGGTCAGTCACACTGCCTGAGGCAAGAGGACACCTGCTGGCAGGGTACAAAATGGCCCTGACCCAGGCAGCCGCACGAGTTCAAGTCAAGTGTCTGTGTGTGAGGCTTAACAGGGAGAAGTATATGTGAATCTAGACCTATAGAAAAGCTTTGGGGCCTTTCTATTGCCTCCATTCAACTGGTTTTGTGAACATAGACTCATGCAAAAAGGGTAGAGGGAGCTGTTTTCTCACATCAGCTACTGTAATATACACAGAATTAAAAAGAAAAATGTCCATATGAAATTCAACAGGATCCAAAAATCACAAAAATTACATAAATCTATAAAGCTCAACTGTTATATTTTAAGTCTTTCTATGTTGAACAGATGAAAATTTAAGCCGGTATTCAATCAAGTCAAATCAAAACACACTCAAACCTCATTGGTTCATGTACATCACTTGACCAAACATCATGACATTTGAAGTATCATTTGGCCATTTTCAAAATTTTGAGGTTTACGTTGCCGTTGCTTGAGTAGATTCATTTCCTTTTTAGAGCTTGACAGTTTTGGGTCCCGTGGACTTTCATAATATGGACAAAACCAGCTGAAACATTCTTCAAAATATCTTCTATTGTGCTCTGAAGAAGAAAGCCAGTATAGAAGTTTGAAAAACATGAAGGCAAGTAAATGATGACAGATAGTTTACGTTTGAGTCAACTATCCCTTTTCATTTAGTTCCTCAGAACAATTTCTATGTGTGTGACCAGTGACCACTAGCATCAGAAATGATTTTCTGACAGTACGGCAAATATCCTACATTTTCTAAATTAAACTAATTGTTTTTTCCCGACAAAGTTCGAGGAAAAGGCCCGGCTTCGCAGACCAAAACACAGTGAACTGACAATCGAGACCGCATTTAATAGCATCGACGCAGGGGCTGCTGGGACTTTTTCCTGAATGGCTGACATTCTGTCGGACAGAATGGAGACTTTTCTTCCATTGTTTTGTTTCTCTCTATCAGTGTTTCTTCTTTCTCGCTCTCATTTGATGGTTTCACCAGATTCTGACATCAGAGGAAGACTGACAGTTGACATTCTCCGTTTTATAATCCATGCCATACCTTTTTCTCTTCCTTCAGATCAGGAGGCACAACTGTCAGGGGAACAGGAAAGAGGAGGGATGGGAGTGACGTGGCATACGGGCTCTTGTTGTATGCCGTCCTATCTCTGATTTCAAGGCAAAAGCAAGCGCACAGGTAGAGCTATTGACAGATGCGGCTCTGTCAGTCGGCTCTGTGCTATTGTGTTGACAATGACGGCCGCTATCGTGGCTACACATCAGTGTTGTTCTCTTTGCTGGGTTTTGCTGTTTATTTCCTAACCGTCAGCGATTATTTCCTCTTTATCAAGGTCAGAGTCGACATGAGACACGGCCCTCTCTATCACCTGCTGTGCCTGTCTGTGAGGATGGAGGCCTCTCTTATGTTCGTTCTCTTTTCAGGGCAAATCACTCCCTGTTTCTTGGCCGGCGTTCTTTTTTAAAGTGCGCACGCAAAATGTTTTCATGGCTGGAAATGCTGCAGTTGTAATCGAAATTGTCCATGTGGAAAAGCAACACACACACACACACACAAAATACTTAATGACTGGTATTTTGTATACATGTCAGATCAGATGAGTGTTAAGCTAAATTGGGGCCATTTGTGCATTGTATGCAAGAGACGGAAGAGGGATTCACACACACATTAATCTCGCTAAGAATGCAGTTATTCTAGGCAGAAAAGCAAAGGTAGTTTAAAAAATAGTTCAAATCTTTTTTTTAAGTAAAAACTGAAGGTTACACTATTTTAAGGTGAGACTGTTACAGTGTAATTACACAAATACGTACTGAGTAATAATAATTAACTACATGTACTTAATATAGGGTTAAGGTTAGGCCTTAAGGTTAGTGCTAGTTACTTATAATTATGTATACTTTACTGTTATTACTATAATAAGTACATGTAACGTCTAACTGCGCCACTTTAAATTAAAGTGCTACCAAACTGAACTTTTTAAGCTAAATGACAGATCACTAATTCTAAAATAATGTTTGGATTGGCAACTAATCCAAACCTTGCAGACACTAAAAATGATCAGTTAAGTAAAAAATACAAAAATACAGAGCAATGAATTTCCACTTAAAGAAATGAAGTTCATCCGGAGAGAACAGACCTCAATAAAACTCCATGGAAACATGCACACGTGTGGAAGGTCTTATGGAAATAGTTGACGCATAGTGGAAGTGTAATAGCATGAATGCGTCTTACCAATAAAGTAACAAAAGAAAGCAAATATTAGTCTACCTGGTAACTTTGCCTGAATGTTTGGTGCACTTAAATTCAAACTAACTTCAAGGTACGCATTGCATTTTTTAAATATTTTCCTTTTTTGCTATAAGCCAGTCAGATGAATATAATCTAGTGAATATTTGTTCACTTTTGTCTATTTTATGTATCACATTCCTCACATTTGTGTATTTTTATAGACAAATTTGTGTATAAAATTTGCTCCTGCTGAGTATAAAGTTTATGCCTGTTCTGTTTTTTGGTTTTTCAATAGAGCTGACTTTACTAAATCCATGACATTTCAAAGATGAATAATATCATATTCGAGACAGCTACAATTTAAATGCAACAATTGTCTCAATGGCCCAGCACAATAGAAATGCTAAAGTTCTAATTAGTTCCTTTCCTGATAAGTGCTGCAAATCACTGCAATAAGAGTAGCGGTAATAATAGCAATAATGAAAGTCTGAGTTCTGAAATATCATATAATGCATTGGGACTTAATGCCTCTATAGCTGTGATAACAGATGTGCTGGGAATAGCCAAAAAAGGTGCCATACAACTGAAGTAATATGTGTTATTGAGTAACTCTAAAATTACACTGCCCGCATGGTCTTCACAAACTCACACAGGATAAATTTGAGCTGTGAGCCAGCTGTCACACCCATGATAAACTCAATAGCTTCTGAACAGAATTGACTCGCAGATGGTACAATACCTGCTAAACAGCTAACAGTCCACATCTCATATCCCCTGATGAAAGTGTAGATGAAATCTCATGTGACTCATATGGAAACTTTGATGCAAGGTGAATAAATAATGATGAATAAATAACAGTTATGTGACCTTTCTAATTTTAGGTGTTTCAGTATTATGTGTTATTGTAAGCAGACGGATATGACATTTATTAACGCAATAAGCGACAAAGGGTTATGAATTACAGCGTTTTCACCATAGAGTGGTCTTAAAACTCAAAAAAAAAAAATGTAATAAAAACTTGAGGCTTATTGCTTTTTCAAAAGGTTCAACAAGACATCATGTCAAATAAATTGAATAAACAAATGTAAAGAACAAAAACGAATTTATAAAAATTAAAAATGCGGGGGAAAAAAATTAAAATCGGTTTTATAAGACTTATTAAAAAAAATCTAAGTCACAGGTACCTTTGTCCTCAAAAGACTGGACAAATGACCAAATGAATATAAAATGACATCAGCTTGACAGCTGGAAACTGCTTTTCAATTTATATTTGATTTCTTCAATACCTCGCTGTCCTCAAATTAAATGACAATGTGAGTGTCTCTGTATTTCTCTTTCTCTCGCACACACCTTTATCACAGCATGTCGTCTTATGGACTTTTTACGGACGGAGACATTGTTGGAATTATAGGGGTTACACGAGGCCAAAAGCAGCTCCTTTCTTTCCAGTTAACTTCTTCGATTGATCTATTACACTGTGGCCATAAACCAGACAGATAAGGAGCTCCCTAGCTTTTTGGTAGATTGCACGGTGCTCTTGTTCTGAGGTTAGTAATAACTTTCAAGTGTGGGACACGGCAAATGGACATTGGCACGACAGAAAAAGAAAAAGAGATTTATCTATCTAATGGATAAAGTCTCGGACAGAGCAGCG